CAAGTTTACTACAGTTTTCTCGCAAATTACCTATGAACCACAGACAATGGCGGAAAGTTCGAACAGGTTTATTGCTTTAGATAAACTCATTAAAAAGTACATCTAAGAACAGCTGAACAAAAAGACTCGAGCAAAAACCCGACGAAACATTAAGGTTAGCTTGAAAAGTTTTCAAAAAGGCAAATATGCCATAAGCATTATCGACGACAAAGAGTTTTATCAAGCAAGGAATTATCTGGAAGCTGGAAGTAAACGACTATAAAAAAGCAAGGTAACGGAAACATGTTATACACAGCTAAAGCACTGAATGATGACGAACTAAACGTTCTGAACGAAAGATATTCACACTAAGTTTTTGAAGAAGAGTGCTTGCACTCAGACGGAATAATAATATAACTTGACATTCGTTCTGCCGAATGAAGGGCGAAAATCTGATAAAGGGTGAAAATCTCGGTGAGTATAAATGAAACAAATAACAGTACGGAAAATGCTTTTTACGGTATTTACGCACTCGTTTTTGTATTAGAAAACTCACTCAGTCGCCAAGCTCACTCGTTCGTTTTCTGATACATCAACAACTTAACTCGTGCGTAAATACCGTACGCGCGCACTGTCGATGAAGTAATCTATATTTCCTGGTTACAAGGCCGGGATTGAAGTCATGGGATATATAGATGGGACTGAAAACGCCATGTTTAGACGCCCTCTCAGGCTGCTTCAACAAAAATTCAGTCGCCCGGCCGGCATCGTAACTTAGGCACCTCAGCCCGTGTTTTCACGTGAGATGTTTATTTTGGTTTTGTTTTAACTTTACTGAAGTGAAATTTTTACTCGTGTAAACACATTAGTAAACCTCGGTAAATGGCGGCAAAATCAAGAGTAAGTTAGCCTGGGTTTGTCGACAGTTGAACGCCTCATCAGGCATGGTTTAGCTCAGTAACCGACGATAACCAGGGAAAAGCAAACGGTGTCGCGACATCTTGGTGGCAAGTGTTCATGCGTTCAGCCCGTTAAGAAGAAGTCAACGGGCAAAAATGCTAAATTAACTATTGCTTTATGCAAAGAAATCCCGGACTGCCGTTTTCCTTTAATCGTCAAGTGCTGTGAGGGTTTCTTTTCTGTTAGAAACTCAGCTCAGCAGCAGGGTACATGTATGCCGGCGCAAGAAGAAAACCAGTTGGTCAGAAAGAGAGAGAAAAAAAATCATGATTGAAGTCTACGGAGAAGAAAAGCAAATGTCAGAATTAAAAGCGGCTCCAAATAAGAAGAAGTACATGTACTGTTAGACATCTACGCAGTTCAGCTCCGCGGCAGATGTCGTTTCAGTTTTTTTTTTGTGAAAGAAAAAATGTTCTGTGGGAAATAAAAAGTTTCTTTCCAATGAATATTCATCCGCAAACCTTTATTTAATTTAGGAGAGTTTGGCTCGTTATCATCACAGCCTGCGAATCCACAACGACCTTAGTGGAGTAGCAGCACTGGAGTATTCCGTTAATAAAGTCAAAAATTTCATAGTTTCTTATTAGTTTTTGTGCATTGCGATACCGGGCTTACCGAGAAAACCTCAAACTTACTTAAGTTAATTAGTTCTGTGTAAACAGCTTCTCTAATAACTGCGGTTTAGTTACCAAGCCTTGGTCAGCAGTAACCGTAGTAAACCTCTCTCGTGAAAACACGGCATCAGGCGACCGGGCCCCGGTTATACATGCAGCAGCTTTCATAAGCGCAAGAAAAAGAAACATTTTCCTTTCTTGTTCTCGCGCACACGCTTATTTCACAAGTGGGAACTACAATGAAATGAGCACAAGCATAAGTTTAATCAATCGCTATGCTGTTTCTCCAATGATGTAACTCGCAATGTGCATGCGTATGTTACTAGTTTGAACATCCTTGTACTTGTTTTCACCCTTGTGCTAATAATTATCTCAGAAGTGCGAAACAGGCTTTAAGCACGGTACTCACTTGCAACACAAGCGTAAGCATAAACATTACAAGCTAATGCGCAGATGGGCACAGCTGCAACATAAGCATAAATACAAGCGCTCAGTCTTATGCTTATGCTTATGCTTATGTCGATGTTATGTTAAATAAGGACATGGTTGGTATAGGCAGTATAGTGCTCGCTGATTGCCTGAAAGTCTTTCGCATATGTTTATACTTATGCTTATGCCAACCAAGTCCTCACTGGAAAACATAAGCATAAAAAGAATGCAACCTTTTGATAATCTTGTGCATATATGGTTATCCTTATGTCCGAGCGTCCCATCCAGCGCATAAGCTTTTATATGCTTATCCCTATGCTTACATCGCAAGTAAATACCGAGCTTAATATTGCAACAATAGTTTTTCGATTAACAAAACAGCACCCTTTTGAACTTTCTTTCCTCAAACCTTTACTGTAAAATCTGGAACAGTGATTGTCTGACACTAACTCCTACTCAGACCATGTTTTCTGTCTTTGAGGCCTAATTTAATTTCAGGTCATATTCCTCAAAACGTTCATTTGCCAGTCCAACACTTCTTGGAACGATTCATACCCTAGTATGGAAATCAAACATCAATTTGTATTCACGACACATACATTGCATTGGCTCATCCAATTTACGATTTGGCTCACAGAGCTTTTTATTTTGTAATGTGGTCTTTAAATATATCAAACCTTGGGCTGACGGTCTATTATTTTAAATTGAAAGGAATGATAAAAATTTCAATAAAACATCTTCAAATTCAAGCGACAACAACCTGCGAGCGAGTTGCATATAATCTCAAGAACATCGGCCGTTTATTTGGCAAATATATCTCTGAAATCTGATAAAAATTACATAATTTACTCTTTTCCCACATTTCGTGCGCTCACGTTTCGCTCCTCTCCACTAAGAGCTTAGCTGAGTCAACAAATATCATATTTACTAATCTAAAATAAATAATGACGCAAAACGCTTCACGTTGAAGTCAAACATGATGTAAACACTTTACAGCGACTCTAGGTTCATAAGCGATTACTTTGATTTAAAAACACTATGGTGAAACAGACATAGACAAGAAAAAGCTGAGGCAAAACGAGTTATCATCATTCCACAGTCCGCGTTATGATTGTACTTCACTTTTGCAATGTTGAAATTAACAAAACTCTCAAGCCAAAGGGAAAATTTCATTCTACTTAATTGCCCAAATGAGTGTAATTTTGATTAGTGTTGAAAGAGCTCCCCCGAAAGAATTGTTTTTAAATAACTCAATAGTTTAGGTCCTTTGTCCCGATAATAGTGCTGACTCAGCAAATCCATATGTTATTCGCTGTAAAAACTGCCAAATTACAAATTTTGCGTAAAGTTGGTGTATCACCCATGGATCTAGTGGTTTCTCTATTGTTTCTTCATACGAGCATCTCTCCTTATCACAAAATTGGACTTATATTAAGTAATGTTTACTCAGACAGATCAGTCTGAGTAAATTGAACACCGCAAACCGTAAAGAGTTTAGAGGCTGAAGTTTCGAGCGTTAGCCCTTCGTCTATCGATCTGACAAAGGGCTAATGCTGGAAATGTCAACCTCTAAACTCTTTTCGGTGGTCAATTTACGTTGATGCAACATTTTTCCTTATTGCAGTACTGCATCTTGGCTGGTTTTAGACATGATTTGAGACTGTTTATTGGGAGAGACTCAGGCACTAGACATTAAAGTCGGAGGCGTCTTATGTTGAGAGTTGGAACCTTTATTTTTTAATTTATTTTTGTTTTCCTTGATTTTCTTTAGTACTTTTCCTCTATTTTCCCGTATTCTTCCGCAGTTATTGTCTTGCTTGTGTGTTTATCTTTTTTTATAATGAAGCATGGTGTTTCCATGGCGTGTTGGGGTGTGAACCAATTACAATCAAGGTCACCTCGTGTTGCAAGCGTGGATCAATTATTGATGTTTCCGAGGATTGGGCAAGTGACTTCCTGTCCTTAATTTCTGAGAAATATCATGTGTTACCTTTCAATTCTTCCACCTCACACTTCGTAGATAATACAAATAATTTGCCTTTTCGGTTGGAATTGAAAATAAATAACAGAGAAAAAAAACTATGATGAATAGTTTCCAGCTATTTCTCAATTCAGAGCGGTTGACCATCTCTATCAGTATCAGTAATTGGTCAACACTATCACTGTTCTGTGGCAATGAATTTGTTTTGAGTGAAACGACACGAATCGAGCATGTTCTGACAATTTGCTATCATAACATTCCCATTCCATTCCTACAAAAAGGGGAGAAGTTTAATTAATAACAGAGAGGCGAGACTTGTTTTCAAATCAGTTGAGTTGAGTTATAACCCTGAAAAATAAAAGAGAGGAAGGTGGTTAACAGTATCTCGAGGTGTTGTTAGAATTTCTGCCTTTGGATAAACCTTCCTTTCCCCTCTCCCAACACCTCACGGTTCTGACCATTTTTAACCGTAAAGATTTAAATCTATGTTCCATTATCTTTGTTATTACTATTATATTTCACATAACTTACGAGGAAAGGCTTGGCAGTGACAGTAAACCACTTACCTTCATGTGCGATTCTTACAGCTGCTACAGGATTGACTGTTGTTTCACTCTACGTACAACATCTGATTAATATTTCCATGCGAACGCTTGTCGTCGGTCTTACCAACCTGAAATCACTAGTCATTAGTAGAAAAGGTTGATGGAGTGCAGTAAGGGGATCAACATGTTTTATGACAACCAGTAGGATTTACATGAATTATAAATGCGCCTGTCGCTGAAGGTAATTTCTAGGAAACGTTGCCCACCAAATAAGTATGGCGCGGTGTGGGAATTTCTCGGAAAAGATCTATTTTTTTTATTGATCTGCGGTGAAATACATATGTGCAAAGCCTTAAAATGCTGCCAAAACGTGAGACAGACAAAAACTTTGTGAACGGGAGGTTACGATCTTCAAGGAGGATTTTAAATTGATCGTGCTCCTTTTGCTGAACAAAAGACAATCAAACAGAAATTCCTGTTTGTGATCCAATTTTTTCACTGTATGATATAAAGCCAACTTATTTGTTGAAATGATCTTGTAATCATTCAGTTAAGATTCGCTAAAAGAAGCAGTAAGCTAATGTAAAGAACACGAATGTGCAAATCATCGAAGTCATGTTCCTTTTTATAAATAAGTGATTACCATGTCAAAGGAAACTTCTAACATAATCATAGGCTGTTTGAAAATATTTTCTTCTCGAGAAACGTTAAAGGAAAAACCTTACACATTTTACTCGCCTCCTGATATCGAAAGGACTTAAGCGTACTCCCCTCGTAGGCAGATACACATTTTGCTTTGGCATTTCTCTTCGAATTCGCTACTTTTAATGTAACTCGTCTGTCGAGTAGTAAACACTGAATTCGTAGGCAAGCTAGCGATGCAAATTTGCTGAAACTAAAAGGAATGTTTGTAATGAAAAGATACCGAAATGCTAAGGCTGACACTTATTCTTGTCGACTGAAAATACGCCAAAGTTCTTAAAACGTTCGATTGAAGTTATACAGATTTCATGGAACGAATTTGTTTCCCCAAAATATCCAACAAGCTGGGATTGTTTCAGTTTATAGTTCCTGAAGAAATTGGTGAGTCATCACGACTCTTAACATTCTTACTGATGTAGAGAATATTCGAACCAAACAATTCCTGATTCACTCCACGCTCGGTAGAATCTTTAGTACATATCCAACAATAGAAGACTGCTCTAATAAGGAAAAAACTGAAATGGCTTAGAAAGAATCTCCTCTAGTGGCTAAATTTGTTCCCACATACTTATTAAGACATCAAGGCATTCCCGTGTGAGCCAACCTTTTAGGTTACCTTTTTCACCCAAGACTTCCACCGCTTCACGAAGTAACTTTCCCGTTATCTTGGGATGTGCATCAGCATTCCTGTTTTCCTGCAGGAGTTTTATTGCTTCCTCGTACGTTTCGTCCCAATTCAGCTTCTTTTGCAACTCACTCCACCTCTGGTTTGCTTCTTCAGTCGGAAGCCTCTTCAGGTCGCGACGAATGGTCTTCACCTTGTAACCAACGATGGGGGTGTACAACTGTGGGAAGACGTACTTGTACATCTTAGCTTGCAGTTGGCGGCTCAACTCCCCCAGACATAAAGAAGCTTGGAGCTCAGGTGGTGGCGGAGGAGTCAGCATCGGCAATCCCTCTTTGAAACCGGTTGGCAAGAAAGTGACTAGCTTTTGACCAAGGTCTCTCACCTCTTTCTTCAAATTTTGGTTTTCGTTTCTGGTCGACACCAGCTCTTGCTTTACACTTTCTACTTCTCCAGACATAATCGCCAAACACTCTTTTAGATTAACATTTTCTTCCTCTTGAACCTGCTTTGCCTTATCCAATTCTTCAACTTCCTTTTCCATGCGATCGAGCTTTCCTTCGACGTTCCTCAACTTATCTTCCAAGCCTTTTTTCTCAGCTTCCAGCTTGGTAATCCTTGTCTTGAGTTTCGCAACTTCTTCGTTGCGGGTTTTCAAAGCGATGTCCAATTTCTTGTTCTTGTCCTCGAGTACTTTTATGGCTTTGTGAAGACGCAATATCTCTTCATTCTTCTCTTCGATTTTTTCCTTTAGAGAGTCGATTTCACCACCGTGCTGACTAATGATGATTTCGTTTAGTCTCTCTCGTTCAGCTTGTGAAGTCTCAACCAAACCGAAAAAGGCCGTGGCAGTTCGACCACGATTTTCAATCTGTCGTAAATGATCTTCACTCATGGTCCGTCTTTTTCAAGCGGAGCGCGTTGCTAACTTTAAAATGTTTGAAGTACTGGCGTCAGTCGGCGAGCAAAGTCCGTGGCTTATCTCATACCATGTAAGGTCCGCGCATGAGCAGTGAACCTTCCTGCTTAGAATTCCGAGAAACTGCTTCACACTGAAGGGAATTATTTTTAAATTCGTTGGGTTTTTTCCTCAACTGTTTAGTTCAATATTTAGCATTAAAGCCGAAAAAATCCGTCATGGGATTTTTCGAGTCTAAAATATTAGTTGATAGCGTGAAACGAAAATGAAACTTGGTTGCATCAGTCGATCTCCCAGAGTGTATTTTTACAATTCAGTTCCTTGTAAGTGAGATGACGTAATATGGAATTTTTGTTTTTACCCAACAATTATGATAAATATTTCGGTTGCTGGTGTCGAAGAGAACCCCTCTGACACAACCTTGTACTTGAGAAGTTGTTCCCAGATGTATCTCTCGATAAAAAAAGAGAGAAATTATTTGTTTCCATTGGAAACACTTTATTCCGATATGCACTCGTGTTGGCGCATGATCACTTCAACAGCTTTCCGGGAAAACTACCAAACGACCGTTTGTTTACGTTGAGGCCTATTTCTCAGAAAAAGCGAACATAATCCCGGTGCAGTGTTTAATTTAGTACTGGCATGGGGATCATATTCTGAACTAAGGGAAACTTTGTGATTTTGTCGAATTATTAAGCCTTTGAATGTCAAAGACAAAGACATCAAGCGACTCAAAGCAAAGACCAGTCAATTCGTAAGCGAATAGCAATGAACAGTAAAGAAGAATACATCATATATTTTCCCGGTTATGTGTTATTCTTATTGTGTTTTATTCCATAAAGCGTTACAAGAAGTCTTTAAATATCTTACCCCAGCATTATGTCAATACGAAGTCAGTCAGGCTTAAAAAAATTGATTATTGCACGATGAAGATTGAAGTCGATTTCGTGGAAAGCGTGGCGTACGTTCATAGTGATCAGAAACGAGAAAGCAGTTATGTAGGTGTATTGTATATACATGCATGTATATATGTAAAAAAAAAAGTTTTCTGCAGCTTATAAAACGGATTGTCTCTAACAAAGAAGGCACGGGGGAGTCATATATCTGTAATAATTCTGTCATACTATGTCGAAACATGCAATTGTTCAAAAGGATAGCAAATATTTTTCATCTATATGCTAATCAGCAGTCTTACTCAGTTTACATCTGGGCAAGATAATTGCGGCCGCGCAGTTAATTTTTTACCTCGAATTCTCATGAGTGTTTCCCATATCCTCCACCTTTGAATAAAATATGCCTCTTTACTCTGACAGCGAAGCGCTTGATACAATAATCAAGTATCTTGCAATATTAATTCCTGATATTTTTGCATTAGGACGGAAATGAACAAGAAAGTGACCTGTTGCGTTATGCAATTCAACAAAAGTTCAATTTCTCGGAAATCCACTCACTCTTGGAATTAACGCAGATAAAAGCATAATTTTCGAAGCTGAGCAGATAAATAAGCTTCGTTTTGGGATGTACGCAGAACCAATGAAGAGGAGCTGTTATTACTTTTACAGTCTTAACTATGTATGGTTTTCTTTACCGATGTGAGTTCTTTGTGCGCGATCCGAGGGAACGAAGATGGATAAAAGCAATGAATATGGTTTCGGGTTAGGTTTGTCTTTTACTTCAGTGAATCCCGTGTACAGTGGATCAATTTGCCTCGTGGATTTTGTGATTTTGAGCTGACATGTTTTTTTCTTTCTAAATCCTGAAACAGAAGATTACTTGAAAGAAAGTGAAAGTTGAAATACCCCAAGAACAGAATTATGTCTGTCTACCGGCAGAAGTCTAACATGAGTATTTAAATCTGTACTAAATATTAACAACAGGAGAAGGAGAATCGCCTACTTTACGACGAGGCCCAGCATTGAGTAAAAGCAGTGATATTTTATAGAATTTTCGATGTTCGCATCAAAATTCTCCGCGCATCATACAGCGAACATATGACCTAAGTTCTGATGCAAGTCACGGTATAACTACAATCAGTCATTCTGTCAGCGAGCGAGGCAAACTGGTTTCGCATTTTAACCCCAATAAGGCGACGGTTTTATTCTGCTTTGAGCACTTTCAATCCTTAGACAAAAACGATGTTTCCAACCATGTAAGTAGGCTAAATTTAAATTTTACATCTAATGATAATTTTCATCGAGAATCGAAATTGTTTTTCTTACTCCCAAGTGAAACATTTGATATAAAGTTGAAATAGTTATCCCTGATAGAAAATCGACAATCTAGTTTAAAAATAAAGAAACAAAACATCGTGACTTTGTAAATGTTCGTCTCCATATTTCACCGTGTGAAACATGGTTCCCTTTAGCTGTAGCTCAGTTCCATGGATAATAGCTATGAATATAGTCACATGTTTCTATTATCCTTCCTTGGTAATAAAGCAGCTAAATTTGAGTTTTAAACTATTTCAGCGATACCAATATATCACAAACATATGACTCACTCCATTGTCTGAACGTTTTTCCACATAGTTATCAAATCATTCACTCGTTTCAAAGACAGCCAACCTTTCAGGTTACCTTTGGAATCCATGAGTTCTGCGGCTCTTGCAAGACCTTCCTCCGTTAAAGGGGCTGGATGGGCATCCATATTTCGGCTTTCCTGGAGTGCTTTCATGGCATCTTCGTAACATTCATCCCATTTCAACTTTTGCTTTATTTCGTCCCACTTTTTCCTTGATCGCTGCTTTTCCTCTTCCAGTTGAGGCAGTCTATCCAAATCGCGCCAAATATTCTTCATCTTGTAATTCCTGTTTGACTGAAACGAATTCGGGAATATTATCTTATACAACTTGTTCTGGAACTGTCGGCACAGCTCTCCCAAAGTGAGCGAGGCATGCAGTTCCAAATCGGCTCTCTGAAGGTGCCTTGGTAATGGAGGAGTAAGCATTTGACGTCCTCCTGCTCTTGGGGTTACTATTGATGGCGGCAGCGCCTCTTTGTGTTGTGATTCTCGAATCTCCTTTATCTCTTTCCTCAATACTTGGTTTCTACTCTCTAGCTTGCCTGTGACCTTGTCAAAATTTTCTTGTAGTTCCATGTTTTTCTCTTCTTGGGCGGTCTTTGCTTCGTTCAGTTCTCTGATATCCTTTTCCATTCGGCTAACCTTGACTGTAACAGACTTCAGCTCGTCTTCCAAGTCCTTTTTATCAGTCTCGAGTCGACCGATTCTCGTCTTGAGGGCTTTAATCTCCTCGTTTCTAGACCTAAGCGCCACGCTTAACTCTTGATTCTGCTCCACCAGACTGTCCATTGATTTACGTAGCTCATCGATTTCTTTGTTCTTCTCATCAATCTGCTTTTTGAGAGACTCGATATCCTCAGTGTGCTGAATAACAACCATTTCGTTGATCCTTGCACGCTCTTGATACAGTTCTCTTCTTACAGTGACATTCATCCCGAGTAAAGCCGCCATTGGATCAAAGTCTTCGCTCGGTGCAATCTGCCGGAGTTGTTCATCCATGATCATGATTGTGGGCAGGATGTAAACGGCGATCTTTGTAGCCGAAACGGTACGAAAAATTCGGCTCGTCCCTTTCTTACCAAGTCAGAGTTATGGGCATCAACGTGACAGTGGGCAGGTAGTCGCTCTTCATAATTTATGACGCGGCATTTTCTCCGACCAATCAAATGTTTTGCAACAAGACCAACGAGACGAGGCTGATTTGTTTGCGTTAAAACTGCTCATATCCAGGGATGAAAATGTTTTCTTTTTTACCTGTATTATAACCTTAGGTCGCCACAGTAAGTATTTTTCCTTACTTGGCATCATTAACCAAAAAGATATTAAATGTAAGCGTTGGATCGACTTATCCGCAGTTATTTCTTGTGAGATATTCGACCTTGCGGAAACGGAAGTTCATAATCGATTTCTAAGAAACTGATTCACTGATGATGTTCGTGTTATTTTTCAATACTATATCCGTTTTGTTCCTTGAGTGGATGTGATCGATTTGTACATCGTACTGCGATTTAAAGATCTTGAAGTAAAATATTCCGTTCGAAGACTGAATGCTCTCTAAAGATAGAGATAAGAGAGAGATAAATTATTTGTTTTCGATGGAAACAAATTATTTCCATATGCACTCGGTTTTTCTCAGTAAACAACATTTAGCAATTCTTTTGTTTCATTTTAGAATTCTATTTGTCAACCCACCCTAAATTTTAACTTATTGCAGCGGGCTGCTTTTTTAAAAAGCTGCGTAAGCAAATTGGGGATGGGGCCGGATAAAGGCAAGTGTGGGTACAAGTGACATTACTAAATCTCTCACAGTTGAATATGAGTAGCTGAAGTCGCGCATGATCACTTCAACAGCTTTCCAGGAAAACTATTCAACGACCTTCTGTTTATTTAGGAGTTGTATTTCTGAGAAAAAAGCAAATATAGTCACAGTTATTGTGCCCATTTTAGCTCCAGCATGGGGGGGATTACATTCTGAACGAGAAGAAACTTCGTGACTTTGTCGAATGATTTCATGTTTGTATGTCAAAGACAAAGACTTTAGGCGACTTGACACAAAGACTTTAGGCGACTTAACACAAAGACTGGTCGGTTCGTAAACGATTAGAAAAGAACGTTAAAGAAGAACACATATATTGACCCAGTTGTGTGTTGTTCTTGTTGATTTTTACTCCACGTTATGTTGTTACAAGAAGTCTTTCCGTGTCTTACCCTAGCATCACGTCAACATGGGGTCAGTCGGACTTGTGAATTGATAGTTGCACAATTAAGAATGAAGTCGATTTCGTGGAAAGCGTTGTGTCCATTTCCGTTTACGGAAACAGGATCCGAAAGCAAACAACATAGGTCACATTCATGTAAGGTATAGACAAGCACGTGTATTTATTTGATTTTCTTCCGCAGCATTTAAAATGGAGTATTTCAACGAATAAGTGTGGGGCTGAGTGAGATCTCAAATTTTACCTTTTAGCTGCGGATCGGAAGAAAGTATAGGGTTGTCGTACTGGATTTTTATGATATCTCGGTGAGTATAGACAAGATTAGACAGAGTGCCGCTTGGTTGTCGGAAAAATGCTAAGAAAATGCGTTAACGATTCCAATGCCTTGAACGCTTGCATTTACTTGAAAACATTCTTAGTAGAAGTGTACAAAACAGCATTTTTTATTTCTATTAAAGACGAAGATATCGAATAATAGAGGAATGACAAACCTCGTATCATTTTATTTAGATTCCACAACTCTGATATCTCGTATCAAAGCGCCTACCATTTCTTCTGACTTCAAATGAATTTTTTTTTTTTACTTTAACGGAAGATTATCAGGCCAAGCAGGCTTCAGTTTGCTGTAACATCCAATTTTCTTTCTTTGTCTCCATTGACCAAAAATAGTTTTACATGTAAGTGTTACCTCGAATATTTTATTAGATAACGGCAAACAGAATTTCGCGGCAAATTTCTGAGAACCAGATATCCTAGTGATGATCCTACCGATTTCTTAGAATTTCGTTGTTTATCAGCCAGATCTTGTTAAGCGTTCAGAAAAAAATATGCCTTTATAATGGCATTTCAAAGCAATCCCAAATCTGTAGAAAATAGGCTTCGAATTTGTTATCAGTAAAGCAGCAGTGAGGGGCGTGTATTTAAAAGATTAGCTCTAAAAAAGGTTTAACTTCAGGAAAACATAAAAAAAGGAGTTGGTCATTCAAACAAAAATTTGAGTCATACTCATAGTACAACTTTTATGTAAAATGCTAAGGCTTTCTTTCCTTTGATTTTATCAGATGATATTTTATCATTTTGGAGCTAATTTCCCTGTGACTAGAAATGTAAGTAGAAAACTTGCATTAAGTCTCGCTAAAAAATCAGTTTCTAACGGTTTTGCGGTTACAGATTTGCAATTTTTCAAACCGCGTATTGTAGATAATTAACCGACAAGAAACTACTTACTCTCCAGAAGATTACAGTTCCATCAAAGATAAACACAAGTGCATACACTAAACCATAGAAAGGGTCTCCTGTATTATCGGCAAAGTGAGAACTACCCTGATGTTTAGGCCTCATATAAGCCAAAATCGTATAAGCTGAATATCTCTAACATTACAATAACAGCAACGTAATTATCTGGTAAGTTAATGTTTAAATGGCTTGCCTTTGATTTAAGTTTCACAGGTTTACTTCGATTGTGCCATTTGCTTCCACACTTCTATCAGTTCATTGACAATTGGTAACGAGTGCCAGTCTTTCAGCTTTCCTGCCTGATTCATGATTCTCACTGAGGTATCCACGACGACTTCATCAATCACGGTTTTGGTTTGTGCTTATAGAAGTGTTCAGTCCTTGTTTCTTAAATTCTCGTGTGATGCCCTTTCTAGTACGTTCTGATTGTGGTCCGCTTGCGTTTCTTAGAAGTACCAGCCCGTCGTCTCTGTAGAGTCCTACGTTGTTTTTGCCGTATTTCTCGCTGAGGTTGTTCAGGAGGAAAAGTCCGATAAGCTCACAAACTTCCGCTCCGTCGAAGCTGCCCATAGTTACGTCGAACATGCTGCTGTGGTTTTTCTTGGTCCAGGCGGTCTCGTTCTCAAATAAAAGTGATTTCCGGCAGTGCATAATTATGTCGATGTCTTTGTCACTGATTGTGGTGCAATTCTTGGCAAATGAAATTACTTTTGAGATAAAAGATTCTGTGATGGATGGGTAAAAACTGTCGATGTCGAATGAGGCGAACGAATGTTTTTGCATGTCGGGTATGTTGGTGAACCAATTAATTACATCTGATGTTTTTCCACTGGTTGAGCTTTCTCATTTTTCTGATTTTCGAGTTGATATTGTCGAGAATTTGTTTACTGACTTTTCCGAGTTCGCTTTTTGCGGGATTTATGAGGCGGCATGTGGGGTGGTTGGCGAAGTTATCTTTATGGTCTTTTAGAGTAATAAAAACTTGTTATTTTGCGATTTGTTCTGTGCGGTTGTCGATGTTGAGCTCTTGGTCGATAGATTTTGCTTGTGAGTCGATGATGTTGGCGGCGTCGGTGCTAGCTTTCTTGTAGGTGGTTGTGATGCTGTCCCTCAGGAGTTTGTCGTGCTGCGTCTTGTCAAGCTTGTAAAAGTTTGAAGTCTTGTCCGCAGGATTGAAGGCTTTTGTCGATTTCTTGATTTTGCTGATGTCTTCGTTGAGTTTGTTCTGGAATTTTTTGTTGACTTTTCTAAACTTTATGTTGTGTACCATGTCGAGAAGGTCTGCTTCAAACTTGTCTAGTTCGCTGTTCTGCGGTGGGCACTTTCTTGATTTAAAACCAAAATTATCGTTATTTATAGCATCGTTGTTATCTTGTTCATTGCGGTCGAAGAAAAACGCTTTCCATCTCTTTCGTTTGATGACACTTTCTACTTTCTCTATCAGGCTTTTCATATATATATATATATTAGGTATACCAATTCTACGCTGCTTATATATATATATATATATATATATATATATATATATATATATATATATATATATAAGCAGCGTAGAATTGGTATACCTAACGATGAACTCTCAATAAGAGGATCCACAGGATACAATGTCTCGACGAGAATTTGTAGTTAAGTGTACTCTAAGGACGTGACGAAGAGACCAACTCTTGACTGTTCTGGACGAGTTTAATGCACAACGTTTCGGCCGTTCGGCCTTCTTCAGGTTAAAAATTAAAAACTAAAAAGCTATTTACAATGATTGCGGCTTATATACAACACATAACTTTTAAGATTGAAGTTACGTAATACAACAAAGGTCTAAATTACAAACTGAGGAGGGTTAAACAATGAAAGGCAAATAAAGAACTATGGGTGGCATGTGAATACAAAAAGTGACAAAAATTAGAGAGAAAAAAGGATCTAACTTAATTAGTAGTGTTTAATCCGGAGTAACAAGCTCCCCATTGAAGGCCTCTGAACGAATGTTATCGGGTAAAACTCATCACAGGAAAGGGCTATTAAACCGCAGTAATAATTTCCCCTTCAAGGCCTCTTATTTTAAAAAAACCGATGACAAACAACAGAATCCCTGCTCTTGAACTCAGGAATAAACAAACATCAAAAATGATAATGGAGTAAAATTAAAATGAAAATAAAATACGTCGTGTTGGAAAAATGGTTCCTATATATGTATATATATATTTATATATATATTTATAAGTTCTGTCTGACAAGCGCTTAGGCGCGAAACTCAGAGTAACAGAGAATCGATGCGTCCTCTTTGACTCTTTGACTCATATATATATACTCATATATATATATATATATATATATATATAGGAAGTCTGCAAGTCGATTTTCGCGTGAAACAGTGCTCAATACGTTGAAGCAGAGCAAAATAAATATTATGAGAGGAAAAAAGGACGCAACTACATTTCCCGACAAGCCTGTTTCGTGTATAGCTTCAATGAACCCCAGAAGGGTTAAGCGCTTCACGAAACAGGCTGGTCGGGAAATGTAGTTGCGTCCTTTTTTCCTCTCATAATATTTATATATATATATATATATATATATATATATATATGGGAAGTCTGTGTTTCGATTTTTCCATAGTACAGTGCTCGATACGTAGAAGCAGAGCGATATATATTGAGATAAGG